GAGTAAGGAGAGTGGTAGCGATTTAGTAAAAACGGAGTAAAATGTCGACATACATTTGACTCACAACCGCCTCTTTGTTGCAATAAGCCGCAAGCTTATCAATACCCTCATCAGGGCATACCGTTGAGTCGACATCGAAGCATATGGCTTTGATGTGCGATAAATCATGCATAAGTCTAAAAATAACAAGAAACTTGCAAGTATTAAGGCTACCAGAAGTAACTCATATCCGAGAACACTATTCGGGTTGGCTATTCAGAATACCTACCTATAAAAGCATGCATCCCCCTGTGACCATCATCACGAAGAGCCTGTGTTAGTCACATCATCGAAATTAAAGAATAATGCCACTGCGACATTAGTGATACTGAGGTTTAGATAGCTTTGGAGCATACATTATATAGTGTAATTATATTGTGAATCGTTTTTGCAGAAAACACTAATGAAGCCATAATACAGCTTGAGTGTAATTTTGTAAAACAACATCGTGCCCTCACTTGGGCAAAAAATGGTGTGAATGAAAAAAGTGAAGCAAGAAGTGCGAGGAACGCAAGGGACAATTTATGCCACATGCACCACGAGCTGTACCACAAAACGCTCAAACAATCGGAAACGAAAAACTATCGCCGCAAATCAAGCTGACCACCTGACGTGACCTTGAAGCCTACTAAAAAGATGAAGGGTTTATTTTCAAAAAACATCTATTTAACGTGAACAGTATCCGATCACTGTTGTAATGCATATTTTACAGCTCTTTGAGCATTCACTTCTCTTCCTGCATATTTCCTTGGAATGAGGGGAGTAATTTCTGCCGACTTTAACTAACAATAAATACACTTTGAAGCTTTTACAGCACTACGTTAAATCCACTTCAGTATGGAAAACGGGAAGAACATGTTGTGTAGCGGCACAAGACTTCCCTGAAGACGAAAAAGAGCACAACATTCGGAGTGAAAATATGGTCAACATGGAGGCGGGTTGGGACTGCTGGCATGGTCCAGAAGCCGGTCTACCCGACGAAAGTACTATGGCCCTCACACAAAATGGTCCTTCACCAAAACCGGGTGTAAAACAATCAACGTATTATAGTTGTACATATGCATAAGCACGGAATACTAGGTGACTGCCACGCTGATGCTTGATCAATCCTACTGAACTATCTTAGAAGTTCTTAATTGGCGCTAGCCTAAAAAAATGGAGTATGCTGCGGTCAGCCGCCTCTTCTGCTATTGTGCAACTGCACGAGTTCGCACAAGTTGTGAAATGAGACATATCACAATAAAAGAACTCCGGACCACAGGTCCTCGGATCCCAATATAAACCATGCTTCTCAAATGTCATGTTGGCTTAATTGTGAAGCTGACGTGACGCTAAGTACCCTTTTGTCAGTTTTTAGCGTGCTGGGAATCACTAAAGTCGCACGACGCACGTTGGAGGCGTTTTGCATTAAAAAGGGCTTAACAGTAGTGATTCATTTTCATAATTACTTGAAGAAGTAAATACAAAGTAGACTAGTGCATTAAATTACTGCAGTGGATTCCACAGTCCTTACCTAAGCCGCGTACTTTAGCTGATCACTAAGATGTGCCTAATTGGATCAACTACGCGGCTCACAACCTATTTTATTAGTGAGATGCATACAACATCAGGTTTAGTGCGTCCTTGTCTTCCGCTTCTCCTATACACTGGCAAGTGTGATTTGACATCGTACATTCTCAACTGGATAATTGCACACGTGCCCTCACACAGCTCCTGGCATCAAATGACGATGTAGTAGAGCAGTTGAATAACGAGACGTCTGTTGGGAAACACGAGTGCTTGTTCGATCGTCTGATTCCTACAGAATCGGGAGGTGGAAGCCGTTAGTCATTAGTAAATCTCAATTCCATTTCCAGATGTAGGATGTTGGTGGAGCTTCTCTGACAAGTAGTCGTGAATACTGAAACAACTGACAACTGAGCAGAGGGGGAGAGAGCAGACAATGAGATAACGTCTTATCACCAGCCTTAGCTTTTCCGTGTTTGATCAAGTAGAAGGTGTTAGTAGAAGCGTACACCCAAATGGTCTGGGTTCGCACAACAGTTACACACCCACCCGTACACACGCTCACACAGTGCTCACGTTGTATTCCGATAAAGTTGAAAATTGGCCAAGTCCAGCCTCTCACCCTTCACTGCTGTCAGCATTCACCAGAATCCCTTGGGAAGAATGATTGCAAGCTTATTGGATAAATAGCTTGGCCATTTTACTGGACCATGATTAGCTGCTCGGAGTAAATGGCGCGACGTGACATTAAGGGCACGCATGATACACTGCAGAAGAAAATAGTCACAGAATATCAGGTTATGCCATGGCAATTGTCATTTTCGTCCTCGTTTACACTCACCTTTATTGCTTTAAACTCCAAAATGTATGAAAACAAGAGCAGCCGTGTGAGCTTCTCGGACTCCGCTTTATCAGCCATATGGAGTCGCGTTTGTGCCTGTCAGTCATAGCCTCTCAGCGCAAAGCCATGCGCATTCATTGTGCGACGATTTGGAGCATGTCCACCCCATCTCGCAGGCCAGTTTGGGAGACATCAGCATATGGCACACCCACATACTCTAGCAGGTCTTGAAGCCTCAACCCTTCACATGACGGAATTTGGTAGTGTGCATTCAAGACATCGCGATTATCAATCCAACACTGGCCCAACAAAGAGAACTAACTCCATTGCGACGTATCCCGTTGAGACATGCCTGAAGATGGAAGTAGACATGATACTAGGTCGGGATGTGTACTGCTAGTGTACAGAAGGGTCAGGAGGGAGGCCACTGAGATGGTTCGGGGGCATGCCAACCAGCATATGTATGTTCGCGGAGCCCTGAGGTTTCGCACAATCAAACGAAAAGTAAACCAGTAAGGCAGTACATAGGCCCTCTCTTCTATTTTGCGTTGTCTTGGACGCTCCTCTGAGTCGATTCTTCACGTGGGCCATCACATTTTATTCGGTGCTGTAAGGACGAAAACACCCACGAACCAACCACACCAGTCGTCGAACTTGCGTGCACCTGAGTGGTTACTTCACCACTACGTCACTGTACCCCCTTGGCGATTCCACTCCATGTGGACTTTCGTCTCGTTTGAGAACCGCATTGCGAGAGAGGGGTAATATGCTGGCCATCTGCTACGTCCATCGCTAGTTGCAAGAGTACCGCCCTAAAATCAGAGCTATTTATTGACAAGCGGGTGTTAACATCATTCGCTAAATTGATTCCCCCTTTTTATCTCTAATGCTAGTGAATACCCTCAATCCTCTGCGCTCTCTTCAATTGGTTTTTTCGCCGTAATTAACACAGCCATCACCCACAATACCGGCACTGATCAGTGTGATACGTTGGATCTACTCGTCATCGATCGGGAAGAACGAACCCTCTCCGGAGACTTCTTTCTTTATTCAAAATGCCGATGAATACGAAGAAGATCATGCTTGGATTCTCCACCTTCTAGCGAAAAGCGCTTTTGATAACGCTCATCATGCATACTTTCTTAAGCGCTACACGTCGGTGTGATTCGAATTTTTCAGCACGCAGCCTCCTAAGTTGCCCTTTTTTGCTTTAACGCCCTATCTGAGTGGCGTAAAGGCTATTTTCATAGCTCTCTAGATGCATAGGCAACAAAAAGGGACCAAATTTTGGGCAAACCTGACAATTTACGACTTTAAGCAGGATGCGTGGATTAAAACAAACCGTAGGTTTAACTACAGTTTTTTGGTCGGATGTCACCCATATCAACTATTTCCACGGTGCAGTTAATTTCACTAAGGACAAGGAAAGTACATAATTTGATTCTTTGGATAGTATATCCATTTTAATTAAACCATAATTTAAAAAGGCACTATAACCCTTACGTTATGGTCACATCCTAAAAGCTAGAGTCAAAAATTTCACTGTTGAACCAGGAACGCTGTTAGTACCAAAAATATATAGTGATTTTCAATATGTAAAACAATTTCTTAAGGTAAATTTTGCAATTTTTTAGGTAGATAAATTAAATTTTACTCATCAAGCCCTTCTTAAATAATTCGTTAAAAATGTTCACAATAGGTAAGCTAACTAAAAACTAATATGACGATAAAATACACATTTCAGAATTTGTAAAAATGCCTCACCTTTTAGTAAATATTCAAGGACACATCAGGTGGTCAGCTTT